ATCAGGTTGCTAAGGACATTTAGCTCTGCAGGGGTTAGGAAACCAGTGTTATGGTCCTTGAGAAACTGTTGGTGCCTTTCCTTGGTAAAGCATCCACTGGGCTGAAATGGCAGTGGGTTGGGGTTCAAAGGGGGCATGTTGGCAAGAGGGTCGCCAAGGATCTTGCGCTCTATTCTGAATTCCTCAGGGACACTGCTGACAACGGGTTTGGTTTTGAGCGCTACAGGCTTATACTTCTTTTAGCGTGCACATAGGTGGGGCAAATTTTGGAGGTAGGGGGTACAACTGATTGAGTAAGTCCAAGAATTGCAGGAGAAGGGGAATGAGGTAAAGTGGTGAGGTATGTATCAGTGGAGGCGAAGGGTTGAAAGCTTGCAGATGTGGTAAGGTACAAATATGACAGAGAAGGGTTTTCAAACAAGGAGGAACTATCAGTGGGATTAGTGCTAGTGATCTGTGGAGGGGAAAGTACTTCGGGGTCAAGAAAGGCCATCTTCAGTATATGTAAATTGTCCAAGTGTGATCATACTCCAATGTAAGTGCCACATCTCTGTGATCATCATTGTCACTAATCACATCCTCAATGGTGGATGAAAATACAAGTGCCAGTGCCCATCTAAGCATTGGCGTGTAAAGAGAGGTCCCTTGCTGTGCAGTCCTTTATTCCTACCCCTGGGAAATGTGGGCACTGTGCGCCTGAGGCCTGAATTTGGGTCGCTAATGGTAAGGGTTGTTTCTTTGTCAGTAATAGTTCATACAATAGATCATGCTGAGACATTGAAAGGTTGGCCAAGGAGGAGTTTGTAAGCGAGTGAGCGGATGATATGGATCTGGAGGTAAAAAGTTACGTCTCCAATGGTGCAAGGTACATTCTTGGCAAGCCCCAAAGACCTGTCGACGGTTCCATTGGCGCTCTGCATATTGAGTACTATGCTGGGGTCATATATCAGGCCAAGGTCACTAGCGACTTCTGCCATCATGGAGATGATCTGTGAACCACTGTCAACTACAGCCTCAACTTCAGTGCAATGGTCAATAGTCATCATTATTGAGCGTATGGCTTGGGAGTCATGGGCTACCATTAATATAGCAGGGTCTTCATCAGCGTCGAGAGATTTTACATAGGTTTCAATGGGGTCAATAGAAGTGGCATTAGTGACTTTGGCTGGGGTTAATGATACAATATTGGTGTTTAGCATAGGTGGGGTATTACTGGCAATTGCAAAGCCTGGCAATGCGTTATCCAATTTATCCACCTCTGCTGCTCCTGTGGCTACCTGGCACTTAGGGGTTACCGCTGTCCTCATCTGGTTCCTGATGTCTGGTTGTGGTTGCCTTGTTTGCATCGGCTTCACTGCTAAACCTAGCCATCAGGTGGCCCACTCTCTGTCCTGCCTTCCTGTCCACAATGGGCTTTATCCATCTCATGGAGGTGATCACCCCCCTGCTTAGGTCGCTGGCTTCTTCTACCTCATCTTTCTCCTCCCTTGACTCTGGATCAAATGTAATGGGCACAAACTTGATCAGGACCAGGAACGTACGCTTTTTTATTTTTGCCTCTCCTCCTATCACTTCTTCCACTTCACCCAACTTTTTCCTCAACCATTCTGCTCCTTCTTTGTTCATCATTTCCAGTAGTAGCCCCCCGTTGAACATTTTTACTGGAGCCTTCACCCTGTAGTTGTTGTATCCTTCTATATCGCCAATTACATTGTTGATCTCGCTTGTGAGCCCTGTGATTGATGTGTTCTTTATCTTCTCCTTGTTCTCTTCTGTTTGGTCTAGGTCAATTAGCACCTGCCTCTTCCTCACTGCCTCCCTTACCCTGAGTCTTGGGTCGATGTCTGTGTTCTTTTTGAACAGGGTGTGGGCGCCACTTGTTGTCGACTTCAGTGCTTCACTGAAGTCTTTGCCTTTGTGGCCATCCTCATTGCCGCCTTGTTCATTGAGTCCGCTATTTTTGTCACCTCTTCCACCTTCTTGTTGATTCTTTCAATTGTGGCATTTATTGTTTCCTCTAGTTTCTTCTCAATCCGTTCCACAACTGTGTCTGCCAGAGGAGACCCTGCCTCATCTTTCCCTTTCTTCATGGAATCCAACAGCCTTGCCACAGCTCTCATCAATGTCTGGCAGTCGTTGTCACCATCTGGGGCAGTTGTTTCCACATCTGCCAAGGTGTCCACACCTTTGCAAGCATTTCAACCGTTACCCCTCCTGTCAAAGTGATTGGTCTCATTGAGCGTAGCCAACTCTCACTGCTATCTCTGCTGGTCACTTTGCCAGGCCCTTGCCCTCTTCATCTCTCTCCTGCATATGCTCTGCCCAGTCGAGCTGTGTTTTTCTCTCCTGCCCTCCTTTCTCCTGGTTTCTCTCCTGGTGTAGTCAGTAATTTTTGTACCTCTTATGAACACTGCCCTGCTCATTCCTTGAGGGGACTGTTCTCTCTGTTGTCTGGTTCTGGCCATAATGGTTTTCCCATTTGCTTTTGGGGGTGCCATCCTCTGTGAGCCAACAGATTAGGGAGAGGGAGTTATTTACTCTTCTTAGATGGTTTTAAAATAGTGGTATTAGAGGAGATGTACTATTGGTAGTCTATTCAGTGCCCTCAGCTGTTCAAGCAAAGGGTTTTTTCTGGGGTCCTAGTTGGAGTGCCACGTGGTACCAGTCCAAGAAGAGCTCGCATCTGAGGAACTTACTGTTTATAAGGTTCTAACAGAGTCAAGATAAGATAAGGGAAAGAGAAAGCAGAACAAATCAAGATTTGAGGTGAAAGATGAGGGAGGAAAGAGAACTTGAAGGCTGGAGGCAAGAGAGAGTAAAGCAGAGATAGAATTAGAGTAAGAGACAAGTAGAGACAACAAGTAGGAGATGATACAAGACAAGTACAATACAAAATGAAGCAGAGTTGAAAAATGGAGACTGGAATGCATGAGACTACAAGACAGAGGCAAAACATGAAGAAACAAGACAAGAGGTATGGTAATATCAAGACTAGAGTACTACTTGCTACTCTACAACTTATATACTGTCCAGTAAGTAAGCCCCATGACTCAGGCCCAGGTCCTGGTGACAAGTCATGGCACTGGGGCTCAAGGTAAGGCCTGAGGATCGTGCAAGGTGGCAGTGAAGGTTGAGACATGTTGTGCGGCATGGAAGGTCTTGCTTTGGAAGCACAGAGACATGTAGTGGTGAGGCAGTGAGGAGTGAGTGGAAGCAGGGCGTGGTGTGTGGAGGTCAGGTTGGTGGTGATGCATGATCATGATGCATGGTGAGGGTCTTGGCATAGGCTGGAGAGAACCAGGTGTTGCCGGTGCCAGTGCTGATGTGGCAGCTGCAGTTGGGGAAGTGTTGGGGATAGCCAGGGCTGGTGCTGATGTGGCGGTCATGTGTGGTGATGGCCAGGAAAATGCCAGGGATGGTGGTGGCTGGTGGCAGTGACAGGCGGTGATGGCTAGGGACTGCTAAGGTGCTTGGTCAAGTAGCGGTCCAGGCCTGGGACAGTCATGGAAGTGGATTTGGGGAGGTTGGAGTCCTGGAGCTGAGACCAAGTCCCAGAGGTCAATAGTGGGTCGTGACAGTGATGCATAGTTGTGATGCATGATGGGGGTTTTGGCACAGGCCAGGGAGAGCACCGGGGGTTGCTGGCACTGGCGCTAATGTGGCAGCTGCAGTTGGAGAAGCGTTGAAGATGGCCAGGGTTGGCGCTGATGCGGCGGTCGTGAGTGGTGATGGCCAGAGGAATGCTGGGGATGGCGGTGGCTGAGCGGTGATGAGTGGTGATGGCCAGAGGCTGCCAAAGTAGCTGGTTGGGTAGCAGTCTGGGCCCAGGACATCCATGGAGGTGGGTTTGAAGGTTGGAGTCTCAGGGCTGGGGCTAAGTCTTAGAGGTTGATAGCGGGTCATGACACGAGAGGGATGCTGGGGGTGGTGGTGGCTGGGGGCGGTGATGGCCGGTGATGGCTGGGGGCTGCCAAGGTGGCTGGTCAGGTAGCAGTCTGGGCCAAGGACAGTCGTGGAGGTGGGTTTGAGGAGGTTGGAGTCTCAGGGCCAGGGCTAAGTCTTGGGGCCAGGGCTAAGTCCCAGAGGTTGGTAGCAAGTTGTGACACCATGCATCAAGAACATATTGAATGCGGAGGTGTTGGTTTGATTATGGCACATCAAGTGTTCCTGTGCTTTGATTTCCAGAATTGGTGGCATCTACAGCAGTGGCAGGATGATCTTGACTCTAATCCACTGGTATTGCTGGACTCACTATCCTCATCACTTGAGCTTGAGTCCAAATCTGATTCACTGTCCAACAAGAAATCCAACAAGTCAGGCTGTGAGTCTAACAGGTCTTCCCATTGCCTTTTGCCTAGTCGATCAAACGCTCAGCCCAGTGCACTGTGTGCAGTGATCTGTGTGATCAGCTGGGTTGCAGTGTCCTTATCCAGTGGGCATAAGCCGTCTCTCAGGTCTCTCTTTTCTAGTGACAATTTGTGCTTGCATTTTGTCTTAGACTCTTCTGCTATCCTCTGAATTAGGTTAGCTAACTTGTCTGATATGGGTTCAGATGCTGCACATTCTCTATGCTTTTTGCATGAGAATAAATTGCCATCCCCGTCAGGGCCAACTTTCACACCGGCCTGAGGCTCAGCAGCATCCACATCCATTTCAGTGGGCATCATGGCATAGCTAGTGCTCACAAGTGTTTCAGGCAACAGTGCTGGTTCTGTCTCAGAGGGCACCAAGGTCAGCTCCCTTTCTTCAACTTTCCCAAACCATTTAAGGAGACCCGTGTCACAGATGGCAGTTTCGACCACTCTATTTATTTTTTATGAGTTGTTGGGTTGTATACCTCGCACTATCATCTGTTATTTACTCGAAATGAATGTACCTGGGACGACATTATGTACTGCAACTAAATGTCCAACTTTTTTTACTAGAGAGAAAACCTTCTTCACTTCATGCAGTCGAGCAGGGATCGTCTGGACTCTTGCTATGGGAAACTAGTTTCACATAGTTGCCTGGTGAAATGGCATTGCATCTGACTACAATGTTGTGTAATCAGGAGATTGCAGGTTCGACCCCTGCAGTGGTCAATTCTATTTTCACATTGGCTTTTTTTTGAAGTCAAAACAAAGTTTTTACACCACCAATGAAGGAATCTAAGTCAAGTTGCGGCAAACAATCACGTGAAGACCTAGAGAGGAGGCGGCAGTGGAACCGTTTCGCATCTTGCGAAACTCCACTTTGACCGCCTCCCTCTAGGTAAGGTTCACAAAAACCACTGGCAGAACCTCCACTAACGGACCAGCGAAATAGTCATATTGTTTGCCAAAACCAGGATATATACTTAATTTGTCGAAAGTTATTTGAACTTTGTTCATCGGACTAGTCCTCATCCATGTTGGAATTGCCACCACATGAGCTCACATGGGAGAAACACTGTTCTTTTTCCCGCTGAGCAGTCCGGGGAGTCAGTTACCCAGACAACAAGTCAATTGGAACAGGCGACCATCAGAGAGAGTGGGGAGACCAACCTTACCTCGGACACCCAAACCCCTATTACTCCGACTGGGTCCAAGCATGCAATCGTCGAGCAACTGGAACAGTGCATTGAATTGTTCAGACATGGGAAGCGATCTAAGCCAATTGCCATTACCACCATCATCAACTCTGCAAACTCCAGCAGCATCCCAGCCAATGCCAGACAGGACACCATCAACAGTTACCTCTCCTTGCTCGATAAAGTCAAAAAGAAAGCTAAGTCCCTGCAGAAGAGAGCCAGACGACATGAAGCGACCCAGACTGTCACTGGAGCAAACACAGGAGCTGAAGACAATGTTAGAGATGGTAATTCATGATTGGGGAGAGCAAATAATGAGGAGCGATCCGGAGGTGACCCAGAGTCCAACCACGGAGTCCTACATGGACAGAGAGGAAATGAGCAATCTCCATCACCCCGCATGGTTGACCGACTCACCAACAAATACGTTCAATCAATTTACAAAGGGGTCTCCCAAAAGGATAATGACAGCAGCTCGGAATCAGAGAGAGGAGAGTCGTCCAAGTCTTCTGATGAGAATAACGAACCTGCATCGAAAAAAAGAAAGGTTAGCCCCAGCAAGATGCCTTGGTATGACCAAGAGAAGCTTGCTAGAGAGACTAGAGACCTGAGGTATGCAGCCAACCATAAACTCCTCCATCGCTACATGCGCAACCCTGGAAAGATCAAGCGCCAGATCCTCACCTCCTACACCGCACCAGCCGACTTTCCAAACTCCAAGTGGGACAAACTCCTCAGGGGAGAACCCGCCTGCTTCGACACAATATACAGTTCAATCGGACATTTGGGAGCTCCTCAAGAGAATCGAGGGCGTCTCGGAGGTCATGAGCTCATCCTTGGCTACAGCGCTCCAATTAGGAAAGTCCAAAGCAGCGGACAATGGCTTGTCGCCGCAAAAATCTATGCCAAAGCCTTACGTTATGCTTTCCCAGAACGTGGAGATGAGTTCAAGCACCATACAAGCAGGATCCTCAACTTGTTCGCAGCCAAGCATGAATCCGCCCATGGCAAAGTCATCGCCTATGAC